GGGTGGTGGGTCGGGTCCCCCGGCGCGGTTTGGCAAGAGGAGCGGAGGACCGGGAGGGAGAGGGGCCGGGTCCCCCCGTCCGGTGCTGGCAGCGCCGCAATCCTGCTGTAGATCCGAACCGGAGAAGCCAGAGCGAGGCCTGCGGGAAGCTTCACCCTCCCGTGGCTGTTTTACCAGGTGTTACCTAGGGGTGCCGGCACCCGCCATAAGCCAGTCAGCTTTTGCACGCTTGTGTTGTTGGGGAAGGAGTTGTGATCTGCAGGGCTGTCATGTGCGGAAACAGCTGTTTGCCGGAGCTCGGCTTCTTAAAATGATGATATCAGTTGGCTGTGTCTATGGTTGGTCTTGCTGAGCTCTCTTCAGAGAGGCTCTGGTCGCTTTTGGTTGAACCAGCACATCAGAATCTTCCTTGCCACCTCTGTGTGCAAAAATAAGTAGCATTAAGCAGAGAAATGTCCCTGGAAGCCTCTGTTTTATATACATACAACAGAAAAGGCGTAGGCAATGCGTAAGTTGAAAAGAGTACGGAGTAACATTAGCATGTCCTGGAATTGTGCACAGCCCTGGTCACCTGCTGAGATGGTATTGGAGGCGATGTCTTTGGGACTTGCTGCTCGGTGCTCCCCATTTTTGTCCCTTGCTGCTGTTAATATTTGCATTCAGATCAAACAACCTTGAGCAACACGTAGACCTGAGGATGGTCAGATGGCTTCAGTGGGAGAACTACTTTATGTCCAAGGGATTCTCCAATCATTTCTAAACGTGGCACCTTAAATGCAGGTTGAGGCCCTTATTTCCTAACCTCCTGTTGCCACTTGAAGGGGCTCAGTTGGCCTGGAAGGTTCCATCCTGCTTCGATTGCTGCGAAGTTTTGGTTCAGTTTGTACTGCTTCTAGGGTGTAACCGGCCCACAACATTCATTGTGGCCCCCAAATGCTCCCAATCCTGTTTTCTAGTTACTGAGTTATACCCCATGCACTGTATGAGCTTCAAACTAAAACCTTGACCACAGATAAGAATTTTTTTTTTAAGTTAATCCTCTCTCTTCTACTTTAATATTGCCATAGCTTGAGTTTGTTCTATTAACAATTAAAAAGCAACCTTATAATGAACAGCTCATAGCCTCCTTTACAGCTGCAGGAATCCTGTAAGTGAATCCTACGTAGTTGTATAGACACAGAGTGATTTAGGGAGGTTGTAAGTGTACGAATGACTGCGGATTTCTGGAGAGAGGGAAAATAAACTTGTGTGGGTGGGAGGGGTTTAGTGGAGGTCTTCTGTAGCTCAGGGTTGTCGCTGCTGATGGCCCAGAAGTTGCTTTAGAGAACTGTACTGCATTGGAAGGAAACTTAAAATAGAGGCTAAATTCAAAATATCCTGCTGAGGGCCTACACCCAGTGGTGATCCATTAACATGCAGCATGGGTCAGTGGAGGCTGTGCTGTTGAATTTCCTGGTGCTGGTGGGGTTATACTGTTAGCGTGATTTGTGCGCAATAACATCTAGACTGTTTATGTAGCAGGCTGCTGCAGGTTGTTGGCAAACAGAGGTTGGTACTGACCTTGCAAGATGGTTTTCTTTTGTCTGTAAAGCTCGTAGGTTCCCTTTCATGGAGTTACTCTTCAACGGTTAGAAGTAGATCCAGTGAAAAGCTCTGGCCAATGGTACCTGGCAAGGTACTGTATAAAGACCTTATACCTCTTGCTAAAACATGGTAATCTTGTAGGGTCAGTTATGATGCTGCCTGTCTTGTCCCTGTGGATCACTGGGTTGTCCTGCTGCGATCATCTAGAGATACGGGTGGACTATCTAAGGCTGGGTAAACACAAAGATTCAATAATGCTGCTTTTGGTAGCCGTATGTAGTCAGCTTTTTAAACATTTAGTTGCCTGTGTTTTGTAAGTACGAGGCCTGTCTGGACTTGCCTGAGAACTTGAAAGTTGAGTCTGAGAACTCATGATTTTGCAGCTATCGCCTGAGAGCACAGGCTGCCAGGTGAGCGGAGGTGGGTGCCGCTCAGCCTCTGCGCCAGGGCATGCTGCTGGCAGGGGATCAAGGGATTCTTGGGTGGCTTTTCAAAGGCTGGGGAAGTGGCAGGCCGTGGGCAGGTGGAATCCCTTTTAGCGGAGGAGCCGGGTGTGAGAGAGCGCCGCTTTTACACAACGGCGTGAAATAGCTTTTCTCCTTCTCTGAAGATGGAGTTGGATGTGAAGGAGCTCTGGAAAAAATAGCTGTGGGGAGTTGGATGGGCGATAGTCTGCAAACGTTGGGTTTTTGATATCCCTGCCTCTGTTACGATAACCAGGTGTTTCCTTCCTTAAGGATAAACCACCATCCAGCTGGTGTGTTGCATTAGGCACGATTCAGAAATGGCTCCCGTGAAAACTGACCAAGATTTTCCTGGATTTCCTGAGTTTCTTTCCTGTTCTCCAAAAGAAAGTTCTTGAAAGTTGGTTTCTGCCCTTGATTATTGGAAGGGGAAAGTTTGTCAGATCCTTAGTACCATACTGGGTAAGACACTCCTCTGGCAATCCCCAAGTATCCTTAAGTTTTCAGATTCCTGATGTGTGTCAGAGGATTATGTAA